AATGAATGGAAATCTGGCAAAGTTAATCCTAAAAAAGGACAAACAAGTGAAAAATTCTGGAGCCAAATAGAAAAATTGACGGGATGTATCAAAACCACCAAATTGTTGAAACAAGACAAAGAATACAATAATAAGACAACTGCACTCGGTACATCAAAAATCAATTATTTAGACCCACATATTTCTTAAGATTTTTAACAAAAGTCTTAGCAATCGTAGAAATGCGATTCGCAGATATCCGTCATCCATTCATCAGTCATTTATGAAGAAATCTCGAATATCCAACTTAATTTCACCTGACACTTATGATTCACTGTGTATTAAAAAGAATTTATTATTATTATATTTCTAAAAATCTGGAGGTTTTTTTTAATTTAATAATAATATTAAAAGAATTTTTTTTTTGAATTTTTTTTTTTAAAAAAATAATGGACAATTTTGGATACCGTGATCTCTTAAATTTTAATAATGATAATAATATTAATCTATTAAGGAAAATATTGTATAATAAAAATATTTAATTTATTTCCAGAAATATACTAATGCCTTATCTTTAATAATAATTATCGTACATAATGGCTTTTAAATTGTGACTTTTTAATCAACTCATCTAATGCTTCATTGCCACTGGTCCATCCTTCAGTTAATAGATTGGATCGCATGATTGACACCATGAATGCAAAGTTTTATATTTATATTTATTGCAGGTTGGACATTTCCCATATATTTTCAATCAAAAGAAAAAATTTTTAGCCACAAATGTATATCATGTGAACAAGTGGAATATTTAGATTTCAAATGTTTTGGCTCTTCAAACATGGGAGTTAGTTTAATATTAACCGGGTGAATGTAGGATCCACATCAAACGTAGATCGTCAAGCTCAATTCCCACACTAATACCTCTTAGTATGAGTACTGATCTCGTTAGCTTATTGCTACTGATTATTTGATAATAATCACATTAAAGATATCTATGTTTTTGATGACCTAAAGGATGTTTGTCCGCAAGATATTTGCTGATGATAATCTATTTGTTGACGAATGAGAAGATCTTCTTAAATGGGGTATGGCAAAACATCCAGAAATTAGTAATTACGACAAATTTTATTGAATAAATAGTTGGTGGATATAATTCAGTGTTGGGAATTTTCGGAACACTGGAACAGTTTGGAAACATCACTGGAACACTGGAAACACCGGAACCGCTGGAACTGCTGGAACCACACTGGAACCACTGGAACCAATGAAAAATCTGTGTAAATTTTATTTTTAATACCTATATTTACATGTAGTAATGAAATAAATATGGGACATTTTCAAAAGTTGAGCAGAAATGTAGAGATTATAGAGTATTCGTTAGGTGATTTAATACATCCAGATCACAGATAAAGGTTTAGTTGATTGTAATAAATAATGTGTATCTACATATACATATACATTTATTTTTTATTTTTTTCAATAATCAAGAATATTTACAAAATGGGAAAATATATTTAAAAATAATAAATAAATAAAATAAATAAATAAATAAATAATAAATTTACAATTAATTAATATTGAGAAGGGCTAGTCGTGGCAGATATTGAAATCAAAGGATTTGAAGAAGGCTTTGTTGGAGTTGTTGCGTTACTGGTATCATTATTAGAAATTTCAGACGAAATATAATCATCATCTGTTGCAACTCTTGTAGCAGATTGCGTATTTCGAGGATTTGTTATCATTATTGTATTATTGTTATTGTTATTGTTAATAGTATTGTTATTATTATTATTAGTATTATTTGTTGGTGCTGACACATTAATTGAATGTGAAGGTGACACCCCAACAAAACCTCTTCGATCTCTACGTCTCATGAATAAATTCCAATTATTTTTTAATTTAGATAAAATTCTATCTATATCTTTTTGTTTGTCATCATCGGAAAATATTGACGATAAAATATATGTCATTTGAAGCATACGAGCTGCAGTGTCTGTTACAGGAATCCCAGAATCAAAATCATGAAATAGTTTATTAAATGCATCTACAAATGAAAAATCATACATTGTTAATAATAAAAAACTTGCGAAACATAAAGATAAATGATATATAATTTTTTTTAAAAATACCTTCAACTCTATCACGTATAGGTAAAATAACATGATCTCTAAAACTCATTAGTACCAAACGTCTAATACTAATTTTATGCGAACCCACTTGCATTTGCAATGGTAGAAAGACTCCTTCAAAATAAGGAATAACTGTTCCGAAATAAAATGACCATAACTCAACTAAGCGAGAAACAAGTTTTTCATCAGGAACACCTTTTAATTTTCCATTAAGAGTAAACATCCCAGAATCTAAAAGCTCATTTATATCTTCAAAAAGTTGTTGTGGAGATCGATCATTTATACATCGTCTTCATATAATAAATATTTTGATTAACAATTATTTAGATGAATAGGCAAAATTAGTTTTTGTTATTAATTTAAAATAAAATTCTTACCTTACCAACTCATTTAAATCTTCAATTGCTAATTTTAATCCTTCGCCATTAAATAATGGCAAAACTTTTATTACCAATATATTCCACGAATCATTTGGGTTAATGAGTTCCATCTTTTCAAACTCTTTTGTAGTGGCTGGAGCGTCATATATAAATGTTTTATGAAAAGCAGGAGCTATTGATGGAGTATATATAGTAGAAGATATATTATTACTACCATTATCTTTGAAATTGACTTGTATAGAACCTGCCGAATGAGATTTTTCATGTTGTTGTTGGTTGTTGTTGTTATTGTTGTTATTATTAGTACTATTAAACGTTCCCATTGTTGAGGTAGAGTTAGATCGTTCCATGACCGGTAGCATCGAAAAGGATGTATGAGATAACGTTGTAGAAGTTGTTGTCGCTGAAGAGGAACTTGAGTTTATAACATTGACATTACGATTTGACAAGGAATTACCACCACGAAAAGGAGAATATGGCAGTGTTAAAGGACTTTGAACCTGTTGAAAAACTGGAGAGGTCTCCCCTTCTCCATTTATGCCTATAGATACAATGGCATTGTTATTGTCATTATTTGTTATAACTGGTGATAATGAATTGTTATTACTGTTGCTATTATTGTTATTAACATTTATATAATTAGAGCTTATAGAAGGCAAGCTTGTACTTATAGGTACTTGGCGTGGAAAAGATGAAGTTGAAGAGTTGGATGAGGAAGTACTTAAAGAATTAATTGTTGGCGTGGAATGTGGTGATTCAGCTTGAATTGGATTTAAGCTCATTTTTTGAATTTACTTTTTTTTTTCTCCCAAAAAAATATTATATATATTATATATATATATATATAATAAAGTTGTACAGGCCAATCATTGGCGGATTTGTGTATTAATAATATTGAAAAAAAATTAACGTTTTTTATTTTTGTCACAAGGATCTAGTAGTGATAATACTTTCTCGAGATAATTTTCAGAGTTTCACAACGTGTTATTGAAGACTTAAAGCTCGAATTCAAGCTAAATTCGAACTAACTTGATATCTTTTTCATAAATCAAATTCGAGCTTTTACTCGAGTCGGAGCATTATGTACCAATTACCGAATAACATCAGAGCTCCAAAACTATATATTAATATGGTGAAACATATGGAACCATATTATTAATATTGTAAAAATTACTAATACTAAGTTTGTACTAGTTCTTGTATATTTGAGGGATTTAAAATTATTTCCGTTCTTAAGGTCATGTGACTTCATATATTATTATTATCCAAGTAAGTGTCTTGCACTATTACTACATATCACATGGATTGTAAATTCACGTGCGTATTCAATTCTTCAAAAATTGTCTCGACCATAAATTATAATGAATCATTGAATTTCGGATGAAAATAGAAAATAAAGGTAAACGGACAGTATAATTTATTTGATTGTCATTTTAAATAAGAAAAATAAATAGTGACACAATGATTCAGAAAATATGACTTCTTCCACAATTTTACTCTTAGAAGGACCAAAATTTCCTAATTTTAATTTTTGTCACCCATCATCGAAGATACTTTCAATTAGTCATGACAAAAGATTTACAATAAACAACAAGCAGATTTATTTATTTACTTCAAACAATGATGATGATAAAGATAATACTAAAGATGAAGGAATAGATGATAGTTTAAATTTGGATCATACTGTCAAAACTTCTAAAAGCGTTTGGGATTCTGTAAGTTTATACCAAAAAAAAGAAAATCGAAAAATTGAAATTGGAGGAGTAATTGACGAGCGAATAATTAATTATTAAATTAAATTAATTAGAGTTTGATTTTGTCTAAATTCTTTGAAAAACAAGTTCGATCCAATAAATTATCTTTCCAGAGCAAGAATGTAATTGAACTTGTAAGTTTAAAAGAGATTTTTTTTTTTACGTTTTTATATTAATATGGTGAATATTCACGTTAATATAAAAATAAAAAAAGGGATCGGGAAAATCTATTCCATCAATAACGATTTCAATATTGGGAGTAAATAAACTGATGATTACTGATATGCCATCAGTTATTCCAGAAATCAAAAAAATCATAAAATTAAATAATTTAAACGAAACGAATATTAATGTAAAGCCGTTAAACTGGATGGATAGGTTTGTTTTCTTACGAGAATTTGTATTTTTTATTAATAGCAATGATTATTATAATACTTTCTTTTTTTTTTTAGGAAAGATTTACCTTTACTGATAAATAATGATAACAGGCCTTGGGATTATATAATAGCATCTGATATTGTTTGGATTGATTATCTGATTGAACCTTTAATTGAGACATTGGATGGTAGAAATATTTATTTATATGTCATTATTATTATTGCATTATTTCCGTAACATATAATTTATATATATAAATATAGATTTAACTACACCAAAACATACGAAACTTTTTATTGCACATCAAAAAAGAACAACAAGATCAGATGAAATGTTTTTTAATGGATTAAAGAATCATAATTGGATAATTGAGAAAATTGACAGCGATGATTTGAATTGGGAAGAAGGATTTTGTAAATATGGTATTGAGATTTATAATGGAATAAAATATCAATAAATAAATAAATGATATCATTGTTATAATTGTTATATTATTTTTTTTATTTTTTTTTTCTAAAAGGTCCCTTTTATTTTAAGCAATAATAGCAATAATCTATCTATCTATATATATATATATTTAAAACATATATATTCGTATTTATTTTTTACCAGTACGTGCAGTATCAAAATTTTGTAAGAACCAATCAGCAGATTCTTTAATAGCTATATATTTTAAAAAAAAAACAACAGAAAGATAATTAGCATGTATATTATAATCAAAATGATTATTATTGTGTTATTTATAGTCATAAAAAGGCGGACCCTATGAATCAAAGTAAACTTTCATTTTTTCTTATTTGAAACTTACCAACATCAAAAGGTGTAAATTTAAAATCGGGCAAATATTTTATTAATTTACCATTATTTGCAGTTTTCTTGAATTGCCCATCAGCTTTTGTTGCATCGAACTATTATTATTTATTTTATATTATATATATGTATTTTTTAATTAGTCAGCAATAAAATTTTTACCAACAAAAACAACAATAATGTTTATGATTATATATAAATATGTTATAACTTACAGAATATTCTCCTTCAAATCCAACAGCTTTTACAATGGAATCAGCAACATCTTTGATGGATATTTCATCCTTTTCACCAACTACATATATTATAAAATAATTAATTTAGTAAATAAGATATACTTGTGTGATTTTTTTCTTGTGGAATTTAAATTGTATGTTTTTTCACCTGATAAAATAATTGGGTCAATTTCAGTGTATTCTCTCAACACCCAAATTATCAATCTAGCCAAATCACGTGAGTAGATGAATTGGCGAAGTGGTTTGCCAGTACCAGAAACAATAAATGGCGTTTTATTTTCTACCAGATAAAAAATACAGATATATTATTGTTATTATTATTATTATTGATAATTAAAAAAATTCAAATTCAAAATTGATTATTATTACTTTTTGCTAAATAACATTTATGCAACAAGCCAGGAATAACATGAGAATCTTCTAAATCATAATTATCATAAGGCCCAAATACGTTAGTTGGAATGACTGAAGTAAAATTGTCACCAAACTGATCATTGTATGCTCTATAGTATTATAATAATTTAATCATAAATAGATACTGTTTTGATTTTTTTTTTAAAAAACAAAAAACAAATTACTTGTTTTGAGCATCTATTAATCTTTTTGCATAAGCGTATCCAAAATTAGAATCATGTGGAGGACCGTTATGAATCATTGTTTCGTCAATTGGATATGTTGTTTTATCAGGAAAGATGCATGTAGAAAGACACGAAACAACTTTTTTAACCTTTATATATAAATAAAAATATGGATTTGTGAGTTTACGTATCAGAGTAAAAATTCACCAATTCTTTTTTTACTATTAATCCAATTACTTTATGTTCGTGTGCTATATGCAACACATTATCATTAATTAACAAATTATCTCTCAAGAAGTCCAACTTGAATTTCATATTTTTATAAAGTCCACCCACAAGAGCAGCCAAATGTATGATGTGCGTTGGTTTATATTTTTCAAAAATGGCTTTTGTAGCTTCTTTTGACTTCAAATCACCATCTTTACTATTAAGGAAAATCCATTTTTCTCCTGCTTTCTTACCAAATTTTTCCGACTTGTCATTTTCAATAACCCACTCAATCCCTTTACCAACAAGTCCTGACCCACCCGTAACCAAAATTACATTTTCTTCTGCCATTTGTCTTTATATATATATAAAATTCAATTTTTGGATTTCAATCTTTTTTTTTTAAAATTTTTAATTTAAAAAAAAAATATTAATTTTTTTTTTTGATGAATTCTATATTTATACTTGTAAACAACGAATCAAATATATTGATAAAGAACTTTCTTTTTTTTAAAAAAAATCAACCAATAAAAATATGTTGCAAATAATTTATTTTCCCCACTATCCGCAACAACAACAATAAATAAAATAAAAAATAATAATAATATTTAATAAAACGATTAGTTTTTTTTTTGTTGAAAAAAAAATTTTAAAATACATTTTTGTGCTGCTGTATTTCTAAGCTTCCGCTTTGCCTTTGGTTTTTATTTTTTTTTTAAATTTTCGTTTAATATTTTATCTTTCTTTTAAAGAGCATCATCATCAATCATGAATGAAAAGGAAGGAGCTACAGACATGAGTGTTTTATATGCCTTGTTGATGAGGGTATCTAGAGCCTTCTTTAATACACAACAAATAGTAGTGTTAGATCAACTTATGAGACAAGAGGAAATAAGTGACGAAAATTTAGCAAAAAATGTTGGACTCACAGTCAAAGAGATCCATAGGCTTTGCGGAACTTTGAAAGAAGCATGCCTTATTAAAACTTCAACAATTACCGAACCTAAAAAATCCGAACAACAACAACGTACAATTCCTAGAACTTGTTATTATATAGACTGGCAACAAGTAAAGATACTTAATTTTTATTTGTATTGAATTGAGTTGAATTGATTTTTAATTTTTATATTATTAAAAGATTGTTAATGTTATTAAATGGAAAATATGTAAAATCCGGGAGATGGTTAATGATTGTATGAAAAATGTAATGTTTTTTTAAAAAAAATAATGATAATCATAATATTATTATTTTACATTTATTTTTTATATAACAAAATCAATTTTGATTTTATTTTATTTTTAAAAAACAAAAAGGAGTTGGAGAATAAAGGATATTTATGTACAGGATGCAAGAAAACATTCACTCCACTTGAAATACGTGAACTATTTGATCAATATTTACATGTTTTTCTATGTGATGTATGTGGTACTGAATTGATACATAATGATAATGCCGAAAATGTTAAAGAAACTGAAAAACTTCATGGAAGGTAATAGATAAATAAATGAATGAATGTTCATTTGGGTAATTAATACAGGGAAAAAGAAATTAAAATCAAAAATATTGTTTATTTGTTTAATTGTTTAGGTTTATGGAGCAAAGTCAACCTATAATTGATTTATTGAAAAAAATCGATAAATTAAAAATCCCTGCGTATGCATTGTTTTTATTTTATTTATTTATTAGAATTTTTTTAAAAAAACTTTTTATAAAATAAATATGTGAATATATGCATAAATAAATAATCAAAGGAGTACTTTTCCAAGAGGACCGAATTCTAAAGGTTCAGGATCAGGCTCTACACGTTAGTATACAATCAAATCAAGTCAAATAATACGATAACACACGCATATAAATATATAGATTATTAATTAATGGATTGATTATTTGATTGATTAGAGGACCAAGATATGCAAAATTCACAAAATGGTAATTTACAAACTGGTGATTTCCATGTGGTCTTAAAATCAGACAATGAAGCTTCAAAGGCGGAAAGACAAGCAGAGCTTGAAAAGAAACGGTAATTACAATAAATTTGATTTAAATAATAATCATATGAATAATTACAATTCACAAAATTGTTGTCATTATTAATTATCACTTTCTATAAATACATATATATATTTTATTCAAAATATAAAAAGTCAACAGAATGAACTTCCAATTTGGCACGTTGTTAGCACAGTATCAGGCGAAATGATGATTTCAAATAATAATAAAGTGGAAATTCAAGAAGATGACGATCAAAAGAATGAAATTGGAAGGTTAAATGAAAAGGATGATGGGAGCGCATCATGTAATAATAATATAATAATAATTAATAATTATAAAAAATGTAATAATGTTGATAATATATCTCATATATTTTATTATATATATAGATTTAGAATCATATTATGCAAATTTGAGAAATCAAGTGTCAGGTGAATTTATTGAGGAAGTTGAAGATGGTATAGAAGATATGTATTTGTCGCCGGAAGTACCGAATATTAGTAAAAATATCATCGAGGAAGAAGAGTTTGAAGAATTTGATATAATAGAAGTTCAACAAAACAATATTAATATTGAAGATGATGATGAATTTGATGATGTTATTGAATTTGAGGATACAAGAAACAAGTAATATAATTGTATTATTATTATTATTATTATTTATTTACATTACATTTATGTTTTTTGTTATTTTTTGTTTAGTAAAAGATTGAAAATAGAAGAACAATATTATGGAAATGGTAATATTATTAATAATAGAAAATCAAATGGTACACATTATTGATTTGACTGGTAAGTAGTTTTTAAGAGTTTATTTATAAAAGAAATAAAAAAAATTATTAATTATATATATATATATATATATTTATTATAATTATATAATTGGAATAATTTAATAAAGAAAATTTTTTATAACCATTATTATTATTAAAAAATAAAAAAAAAAAAATGCTTTACTCATCAGTTATCTAATTTTTGCATTTAAAAAAATGTATTTTATTTTTATAATAAAATTATATATAAATGGAATAATGAATAAATATAATTTACATATAATTTTACACATTACAAAATAATAAAAGTATTTTTTGTTGCTAATAATTATTTGCTAATAATTAATAATTAATTATAATTAAATATATAATATAATATTTATTATACTTCAGAATCTTTTTTAATATCTTCAACATCTATATTAACAAATTGATAAATATTTATTTATTAGTAAAATTTTCTTAATGTTGATAAGGAAGAGGAGAAAAAAGATTATTTACTTGTATTAGATGAAGGAGATTTATTTTCATTATTATCATCACTGCTAGTAGTAGCATTATTAGTACTGCTAGATGATGTAGATGATGATTTTGTTGTAGTGATATTTAATTTTTCATTAAACACTATTATTTAAAAATTAATATTATTAATTTTAAATATAATTATATGCATGAACACACACACACATATATAATGTTAATATACCTGCATCAAGACTTTTACCACTACTTTTTTCTTTTTCCTTTTCATCGTCATCTTCTTCTCCTTTAACAAATATTGAATAAGGAGGAAAATCAGTTGTTGATTTTTGTTGATTGTTCTTTGGTGTACTAATACTATCACTCTTTATATTATTGTTATTAATGTTAGAAGAAGAAGAAGAAATAGTTATTAAATCATTATCTTTTTCAATGATCTTGAAAGGAGAATAAGAATCTTTTTTCTTATCAAGGTCGATTTCATAAGATCCATAAACAGGCTGTTGAGATCTTAATGGAGAAGATCTTAAATTATCATCACTATTAGTTTTGTTGTTATAATTGCCTTTGTTATCATTATCATAGATATTACTTTTATTATTATAATTATTACTTTTACTATCACTAGTAAAACTATCAAGATTCTGACGACGATTACTTTTGTTGTTCAAAGAAGTAGTAAAATCCTCACTAAGTAAAGTATTATCAGATTCATCATGGGGTAAATTTGAATATTGAGAATTTTTGTTTTGGTTTTGAGTTTGATTATTGTTATTGTTGTCATTATCATTATCGTAACCGTATTCGTTACGTAATGCTACCGATTGTTGTTTCAATTTTTCGTACCATTCTTTGACTTTCTTTTTGGTGGCTTTTATTTTAAAATAAATAAATAAATAAATAAATGGAGAAATAGGAAAATAACACTGTAATTTAATATATATGGTGTAATTTGAATACTTACTATCGGCAGCTTGAACAATCTTTTCCTTAATAACAGGCAATTCTTCTGTAAAATCAGAAAAAGGAGATGATTGATCTTCCTCTTCTTGTTGTTGTTGTTGTTGTTGTCTACGGTGTTGTTGAGTAGATCTGTGCTCTTCCACATATTCAACTATTAAATAAAATAAAATATATATATATTAATTACTTATTACAATCAACTAATTAATTAATTAAATATCTAGTTAGTTATTTAGTTACTTTGATCTTCGGCGGCCAGTCTTTTTGCCAGTTCTTCATCACGTCTTATCTGTTCTTCTTTAGTTACAAAAAAACGAGACTAAAAATATATGTAAGTATGATTATTATTTATATGTATGTTTATTAAATGTATATATGCGTGTAAAATTTATTTATTTACTTCAGTTGTAGTAGTTTTTTGATCAAATGGTGATCTTGGTGATGGGGATGGAGTAGTTACTGTTCTTTTTGTTGATAATGGTGTTTGTAATGGTTGTTGTTCTGGTGTTGGAGTAGTAATAGTAGCAGGAGGTTCTGGAGGAACATAGCTTGGGTCAGTTATACTTAATAAAGTATTTATACTTGTTTCCAAATCATTATCGTTTGATGCTAAAACTGCTTCACATATTTCTGAATCAACATCAGGAAACATAGACAATAATGTCTTAAGATTTTCTGTTCTTTGGTCCGCATCCATTTTTTTTTTTTTGATAATTATTTTTTAAAAAAAAGTTAAATAGAAATTCGACTTTCCAAGAAAAAAAGGAATATTTTTATTGTCGTCCCAAAATAGTAGTACAAATTATCACGTGTTTATATAACGTAACCAGTATCATCTGACTATTACTATATATTAATATAAAATAAATTCACATGATGATTAGAAATTATACAGCGAACACACGTCTTTTCATTTGTCTAAAAATTATTTGTCAAGCCACTTTATTTTGAAAATCCAAATGCTCAACTACCACTCTTTTGACAACTTCAGCATGTCACTCCAATTATATCATCCAGCGCTCCAGGTTTTGAATGAATTCAGAAAACTATTTAAAGGTTTTTTATAGAGACGAAATAGAGAGATTATATGTATTTACAGTCTTTTTTTTTTGGAAAAATAACAGATGATTTACAGCAACACAAGGATGGTGGTGCAAATGATGGATGGTTTGGCTATTTGTGTTGAATTTGTCATTGGATTAGAAGATGGTGTATTTCAATTTTTAGGTAGAATTATTGGTAGATTGAATTGAGTATTGGTAAAATGTACTAAACAGTGTCTTTTAAGCCACAATTTTGTTCGAAAAGTTTCTGAAGATTTACAATTGACATGATGTGAAAAATACTCGAGAAATTACTAATTTATTCGAATTACTAATTTTACGAAATTTTTCTCATGCATTGGTATTTGTGGTAATAAGCATAAAGCATATCTAGGAATGTGTCCAACTTATTATATATAACTCATGGCTGTACACTTTCACATCACGAATTGGCTCATCAATTATATAGCAAATACAAATTCTTTATTTATTTCTAATAACTATTAATTGCTGTCATCAAAAATATTACATGCAATGTCCTATATTCTCCAATTTAACCTTTTCTTCTGGTGGGTTCACCATAACGCGTCATTTACCTTTATATTATTTGGGTTTTGATAGTTTTGTATTTCATGATAAACCATATGGCTTATTAACGTCGAGTGGATTAGATTTAGAGCCATTCAAATTTTTTCGGTCAAGATAATGTAAAAAAATCTGGTGTATTTGAATTTGAATAAAAAAAAAGGTTATTCGAAGCTTTAAATTTGATCGAGGGACAGAGATTCCATTCATTTTTATGACTAGAATGTAAAGAAAAGTTTTTCGAGTGAAACTAGAATATGGACAGAGATTGCTAATACTAATACTAAGTTTCTGAGTTTACATTTCAAAAAGTTTTCATTGAGTTATGCTTTAATAAAAAATGTTTATTTTTAATAAACTTATCGATAAGAAGCACAACGATAAATTTTAAATCTTTCTTAATGGCTGCATAAATGGGGGGATTGAAATGGAGTCTAAAGGATTTTTAAAAATTTGATATCCACTAGAGATTGTGCCCGTCCAAAAAAACCTTATCCGGGTACCCAGATCTCTCGCAGGTGATCTGGATGTACCCAACCTGGTTCCAATCCCTATTTGGATGTTATTAACATTATTAACATTATTAATCGGAATATCATTAAAATCATTTATAATGTCGTTATTTGTATTTGTACTGAATGATCATCAGGTATGTTAAAGAAACTCATTATTTGAAAAAATTGCCTATATAGATCCTACGTTTATTCTTACTCGTATCCTCTTTACGACTATTCAATAATTTGGCATATAATGAAGATCTTGCAATGAAAATATGCAAAGGCCGCAAGTCCTGGATTCTTAAATAACACACCAAAATTCTATATTGCATTAGCTTACAGATGTATGGATGCCAATCCAGATGAACATACAACTGCAATGAAAGTTTTAATTTTACTTAGCGATGGTATTAAAAAATCAACCAGGAAAGTATTTGATGAAATGAACGGAATTTCATCAACAATCACTGCAACAATTCATCCAAATGCTGTTTACACTAGCAGATTATTAAAATTACAAGTCTTCCCCAAATTATGAATTCCAATAAATGACAATTATTGGTAATAATAATGGTAATTATTAACATTTAATCATTGATTATTTTCATTTTTTAAAATCTATGATTTTGGTATTAGTTTATTAACATCCATTTTTATGTTAAATTGAATCAACTATACCGGATGGATTACCCAATTAGGTAATAAAAATATAAATCTTGTCATTGTTATTATCAATAAGCGCATATTATAAAAACAAATTTTTATTAATTAATATTGATGTCCAAGATTTTAATCTTTTGAGTAAATGCATGCTCTATTTGTTTAATCCGTCTCACTGTATTATTTACGAAGCCACAAATAGCAAATATATAGTTAATTATCAGTAAATTAATTGTCAATATTGAAGAACAAAAAAAAAATATTAGAAAATTTATTACATAAAATCTAAATACATGATTTAGTGGTCCTCGATTTTTACGGATAAAATTTCAGGGTCGAATCTGCTTATAATTATTTTAACTTTGATATTACTGATTTTTTATATTAATATAATATTTGGTTTACCGGATATTTTTATATATTAATGTATTAATATGCCATTTATCATTTTTAATTCATCTGTCCACTTGTTCACGTGATATACATTTGTAGCTGGGAGAAAATTTTTTTTTTGACAAATTATACAAATAAAAATATAAATAAAATTTTAAACATCATGATACTTTTACTGACAAAAATGATCAAAGAGTGGGGATGAAAGGTATGGAAAATTACTAATTTGGCATGGTGTCAATCATGCAATGGACTAGTGGCAATGAAACATTAGATCAATTGATTAAAAAAGCACAACTTAAAGTAAAAAGATGTAACAACTATGATTATCTAACGAATATTAAAAGATATGTGAAGGTGGGTTTGCAATTATATACAAAGCTTGGTTAAATAGTTTGAAGAGTATAAATTATGAAAATAACAAATGAACTAGTATAAACAGGACATAATTCAAATTATTTATTAGTATTGGCTTCAGATTATTATTGTTGTAATTAAACATTTTATTTATTATTTTAGTCCAAAAATTATATGAAGCTTCATGATAAAGAAAATATAATTCACATTTATTGATTAACACAAGACCCAATTACAAAAGAATATATGGGGCATGCTGCAACAAAACCAGACAAAGTGAATATTGTTTTTAACATCATAATTGTATTGTGAGATCAAAAATCCACATCTCGCACAAATCTCTTGATTTGGTTAAAATAATATTTATTTCATTTTATGGCAGTATCTAATTATTTAATTCTTAATTACTCTCTTTATTTATGGCTGTAATAGCACTCAAGCTATTAATCTGTTTGCAAGTTTTATTACTCCCCATCTGGTAACATTTTCTCAGCAGTCCTTTGTTATCTGCCTGAGCCGGCACATCTCAATGATATTTATAATATCTTAAGTATCTGCTGTGATACTTTCTATCTTATTTACTATTATATTTATGGCTCAGTCTCTTCAACTTACAATTCTGAGATTTGATGATTTTTCCCAAAATTGTCCACGAGGTGCAGTAAGTTCTGGGACTAGGTGACTTGCACCATATTCAGTGTATAAAATTCATGTGCACAACCCCCTTAAACTGTGCACAATGAGATAAATATTATAAATATTTTTGTGCATTCTAACTAACCTCTCTTTCATCTATATTTTCTTTCATCTATGTGTTAATAAATTTGTATTGGTATTGTTAACAAAAATAAATAAAAATTTAATTATTGTCTATATAACACATGTTACTAAAGTTACTAAAGTCTTATGGAGGCATGAGTGATTTTCATCATGAAAATCTTATACTAATTTGTAGGGTTCTGTATTTAAGAAAAAAAGAACCTTTCTGTATTTAGGATGACCCTTTTAAATAAAAAGCAGACATATAACCTTTTCAGCAATGGTAAAATAAAAAACAATAGGTTTGTTGTAAATAATCTAAACTTCTGAAAGGATTGCATTTATTAGGAAATTGACTAAAACCTTAGTGATATCAGTACTATTATCTTATTTATTTAATCTTAATTAAAAAAAAATCACATTTTGAGGACAAAATAAAGGATTTTTACCCCTTGAAATATAAAGTTAATTTGTGATCTGCAAAATTTTCATAACAGAATTTGGCACAAAATTTTGCAGATCACTAATTAAAATTTTCTGGACTCCAACTTTCACCCCCAACGTAACCACCTTTTATGTTGATATAAACTAAAATTGTACTTTTAACACATGATATGAATCTCGAAGTTTAAATATACAAATTTTCAAA